CCTGCTGATGAAGAAGATAACGGAGACAGGTTGCTCCTCAGTGCGGAAATGCTAGGGCCAAAAGCCAGGTTGTGGTCTTTCCTCTGGATTCTCAAACTAGGAGTTGGAAGGAATCCACATGGGCAACTTGTAGTTTTTTTCTGACAAAATCAGCTCAGGCTGGAATGTTTGCAAGTACAGGGGTCAAAGTCCCTAGAAAAAAACATTATTAATGGCTTCCCTGCTATTGTTCCTCTTTGGCTTCCTGGTTAACTTGTCCATTAGAAAGCTACATTCCTTAAGCAACTCCATAGACAGCCTCAGGAACAGAATGTTGAACAGGTGCAAAATGAGCTACAAAGGAAACCGTGTTAAAGACAGACTCCCTCCAAGCACTCCCTTTCAGCGACCATGTGGGTACTGATGGATGGGGCACAGTTCAACCCAATGTGAATGGGCACCTGGCTTTTCAAACAGTGTGAGGGAGGGGTGGAAACTGCCCGACCTCAACTACACCACCCAGCCGCTCATTTTGTTCCTGAGCCCAGTCTATGCCACATCTGTGCTGCATGTTTGTATTTCAGACCGTTCCTCCCCTCCCCTTCCCAAACCGTTTCTGTTTGTTGGCTAGTTGGGGATCTTTTCGTGGGAGATGGATAACAGCAGCAGCCTTCGGGCAGGGCAACCTAGATGACCGCCCAGGGCCCCAAGCTTTAGGCAGCCAACTTTTTGTGGGGGCGTGAAGTTTTTGCAAGGAAGTGGCTCTGCACTTCAACCCTGGGCTATTTATGTCACACCCCCTCCCCCCAGAATATTAAAAAGATCCACGGTACAACTGTGGTGGGTTCATATTTACCAGAGTCCATACCTCTCTAAGGGGCCCCAACCACCCCAAGGCGGGTAACTTCCTCCCCTGCTCTGAGTATCCCCGCGGCCCAGGCCGGCTCGCCATGTAGCCCTGGGAGAAGTTTCTCCCGTAACGGCAGGGCTCTGCCCTGGCCTACATCGCCGCGCTCAGGCCTGAGGAGGGACGTGTGGCTCCGCGACGCCGGGCGCGCTTTATCGCAGTCACGCAGGGGCTGCAACAACAGAGCCGGCGCCCGACGAAACGCTGGCTCC